TCAAAAACCACTGAGCCAGAAAAGCTGAAACTTATGTGAAAGCATCCTGGGGTAGTGTAGATTATAAATTGTTCAAATCATGACCCCCGGGGGTAGGGCGTGGCCACAATAGGAAATACAAGTTTTACTTAGAAATATATAGGAAAAATCTTTAAAAATCTTCTTCTCAAGAACCACTGAGCCAGAAAAGCTGAAATTTATGTGGAATCATCCTGGGGTAATGTAGATTCTAAATTGTTCAAATCATGACCCCCAGGGACAGGGCGGGGCCACAATAGGGAGAATCTCAAGTTTTACATTGAAATATATAGGAAAAATCTTTAAAAATCTTCTCAAAAACCACTGGACCAGAAAAGCTGAAACTTATGTGGAAGCATCCTGGGGTAGTGTAGATTCTAAATTGTTCAAATCATGGCTCCTGGGGGTAGGGTGAGGCCACAATAGGTATTACAAGGGGGGAAGTCTGGTAATGAACAGCATGGCCAAAGTTACTCAGGTGAGCGATGTGGCCCATGGGCCTCCTGTTTATTATATACATTTAACTGCCCCCAACCCCCTCTAGATCCGCGCATGGGGTCATTTGAAAATAGTATTCTCAAGAATCCCTGGACTAGAATGAGAAAATTTCCAACATATCATACATTCATTTTTTTTCAAATATTGATTCCAGGGAGAAGGTTTGGGCTGGAAAGAGTGTTCATAATTTATCAAAGGAATTTATATATCCCCCCAAACGAAGTGTGTGGGTTTGGGGTGGGGGTGTTTTGAGTCTTTTGGAATCACACTGTCCGTCTGCCTAGCTGTCCGTCTGTACGTGATAGTTCGCCAAGGATATTATAACTTTGTTATGAAGAAACTGGAAGGTCATACTTGGTACAAAGATTACTAATGATCCGAAGGTGTGTCATGGTTTTGATCCAACATCATTCTAGCAAGTTCAAAGTCATTGGAAAAAAATAGCAAGTATCATACTTGATACAGAAATTGCTTTTGACAAAATTAAAGGGTTTGACATGACTTTCATCCAAGGTCATTCCTGTAAGTTCAAGGTCACTGACAGAAAACTGTAAGATTACTGTATGTGTTATAACTTTTGAAGCTCATACTTGGAACAAAGATTGCTTATGATCCACCGGTTTGAGATACATAGTACTAGACTGGCAGAAGTGGCAAAATTCGTGCCTGGATTATAAATTTATAAGGGGTGGGAGGAACACAGGAAACTTTTTCTCAGATTGCTTGAGATGGGTTTTCCTGACCTTGAACAAAGGTTTTTCCGGCAAGTTCAAGGTCACTGGCAGATAAATATTATTTTTTTTCCACATGCTATAACTTTGTTATATAAAATCACTGGAAGCTTTTACTTGATACAGAGATTGCTTATGATCCAAGAATGTGTTTTGACCTTGATCCAAGGTCTTTCTGGCAAGTTCAAGGTCACTGACAGAAAAGTGCAATATTCTTTTTCAGGTATATCTTCGTCATTGGGTATCACTGGAAGCTCATAATTTCAAAGGTTGTTTTTGACCTTAACATAGGTCATTTAGGCAAGTTCAAGGTCACTGATATTATAAGTGTAAAATTCAAAAAGGTCTAGTCGCCCAAGTGGCGCAGTGGTAAGAGTGTCTGCTCTAGAGTCGTGGATTATGGAGTTGATCCTTACGTCGCAGGTTCGAATCCCACTGTGGGACGCAGAGACTGATCCTTCGGATGAGACCGTACAAACTGAGGTCCCGTCTGGCAGTAGGTGCTGGCACGAAGAAGATCCCTCACTGCTAAATGGCCATGTGTGCCGAGTATAGGTCAAAATTTGCAGATCTCCATCGGCAAATGGTGGCGTCTCCATATGATTGAAAAATTCTCGGAAGGGAAGTTAAACATACATACAAACAAATAAACAAAAAGGTCTATACTTTTGTAATAGTAAAAATTGCATGCATTTGCATTTCACTGAAAAGATGATAAATATATCATCCAGAGTGTGTAATGGCCTTGACTTAAATTCGAGGTCACTTAGAATATGATGTTTTGGATGAATAGTCTGAAAGAATACGTGACTGTGATTTCTTTTTATGTCGGTGACATAAAGATGGTGTTTGCTCTTAACCAGCTGCAGAATGTGTCATGGCTTGACGCAAAGTTATTTGGACAAGTTCAAGTTCACTGACAGGGGAATTTTACATTCCTTTACTGTCTTTCTACTGTTGAAACATTGAAAGTTGATGCCCCTTACAGGATTGTTTATAACCTTAAAATGTTGCATGACCTTGACTCAAGGTCGCTCTGTCCTGTCCAGAGCTCCGACGGAAGACCTATTCGTTGCATTGCAACGAGCTCGGCTCTAGTTTTCTATTCTCTTTGTAAAATCGATCAAGAACTGTATTAAATACTCGTTTACATTGTAAATAAAATGACTATTATTTTACTTGCGTATTTTGTACATTTTTATGCATGAAAAAACATGCTATATAATATATTGCTAAGTAGAGTAAGTCTTTTTATGTAGATATTACTGCGCTGTGTGATTAGGTCACGTAATGACCTATGACCTTCGAAAAACTTCATACAGGTATGAAGATATTTGCTCTCTGTATGTTTATATAATAGAGAGATACCACAAATGTTTATATTTGAATTAGAAAATTTGATGATTTAGTTATTAGATTATTTATTTATTTATTCATTTCTGAGTTCCCACATTTATTTATCTATTTATTTATTTGTCAATTTATTTATTTACTTTTTTAAGTATATCATCATTCATTCCTTAATTCTTTCATTTATTTTTTTAAATTTATTTTTATATTCTTTTTTTTTTTCTTTTTCTCTATGGAATATGGAATAACTTAGATTTAAATGCGATGATATATATATATATATATATATATATATATATATATATATATATATATATATATATATATATATATATATATATATATATATATACATGATTGGTACATATGCTTACCCGTAAATTGTCGATTACATTTCACAGTTTGACACGACAATTAAAATATATAATTGTTAGATTTCGTAATTGCTGTCTATTCCTGTCTGGCGGTTTTATGATACCTTACACGGTGTTTTTTATATATACATGCTGGGTACATATGTTTATCCGTAAATTGTCGATAACATTTCACAGATTGACACCTTAATTACTCGTTTAGATTTGGGCAAATCATTCTTAGTGACAGAAAATGTCATCTTTATGTATTGTACACAGATGTTTTCAGCCGAATTATTATATAAATACGAATTTTTTGCCACTTTTTATTTGACTTAATAAAAATCTTATATATTGCAATACTTTCTAGCGATCACATTTTTAGGCAAGATAACTAATCCTAAATGTATGGACTGTGACAAACAAGTAAGTTTTATCTTCCTTTTCAGACTTTTTTTTTTGCATATGCACGCTCTTTAAGTTACGTAGTTTCTTGTACCCTAGAACAGAATAAAAGAATCGAAAACTCAACGACATGATTAATAAAAACTGGCCAACAAATGCATGTCAAACATATTTATTACACATGCTTTCTTTGTGTAACTTCCCCCCTTTTTGAACATATTTATTCTAAGAACACAAAGTCAATGTACTTCTATGTATTTTTAATTTTAAAAAGTCCTGATTGTTTCAAAAAAAAATTCTACATTATTTTCTCTTGTGAACGTGCATAATAGACTTCTCGTGGATGACTCCTAAATAACAAAATTGACGTTGGTAAACAGTCTAAAGATCTAGCTTACATGACAATCACGTGTCTTTGCCCTTTCAAAACATCATCACAAGTATTTCATGATTGTATGATTGCTAAAATATTTTTGTGTGTACTGTTCGAATTTCCATTGGTACCAACATTACCCTGTTATTAGCAGACCTATTTTTGTACTTAAATGAAGCAGAATTATTTTTTAAAAAAGTTTTACATGAGAGGACGAAGATACATGCTTTGGCCTTTAATTTGATATTTAGATATATTGATGACGCATAATCAATTTACAGTAGTTGATGGTAACCTATAACAAAAGCAACTTTTTCTATCGTCAATTTCCCTTATTTATGTAGCAAAACACCTGCATATGAATTTGACGTTACCCAATCTGATTCGAGACGCAAGAGCAAGCTCTACGTACGAACAATTTCTAAAACAAGGCTAGCTATTGTCAAATAAGTTGACGAATGAAGAATATCAACGTCTCGTTTAAATCCGCATTTTGCAAATTCTGTGGTCGATACAATGACCTTGTTCAGCAAATACAACCTATCATAAGTCAAATGTTGACTGACGTTATCCATACTAATTGTTAGGTCATAATTTTTTTTACCATGAATAGTCTATACTAATTTTTCATGACAATAAGAAATAAACAATTGCGGGTGTGACCAGTGGACAGGAGATGTTTACTCCTCCATGGCGCCTGTTCCCACCTCTGTTTTATTTAGAGGCCTTTGTAATGGGCTTTTTAGCTTGATTGTTGTTCGTTATCTCCATATGTTATTAAGGAATCAAGTATACTTGTATGTTGTGAACATCGAATTCATTTTGTTGACTTGAATGCTACGATTTCAAAGACTGAAATGTAATTTTGAAGAATTCCATACTTAAAAACTGAACTATGGGGATAAGTTGGATGTAAAATTAAAACCAAATTCTTCTACAAACGAATAAAGAAGATATCGAGAACAGTGATCAATCTCAAAATACCTACAAATAATATAAATCTGTGCGCAAACAAAGACGGTACTGTTACAAGTCTTGTAACCTGAAAGCAGTTCATATTGTTTACATTGTCTCTTTAATTCTTCTATCACTTCCGATTTATTGAAGTGATACATGGAGCTTGATTTGCAGACAAGGTCATTATGCAAACAATGTCCTATTTTCATGTTCGTATTGTATACTCATTGTGTCATTGAGGTTACAAAATAGGCATAAAAGTACAATATTTCTAAAAAAGCAAAGTACGAATTCAGATATTTTAAAATGAATTACCTACTACTGACGCTTGTGCATGTGTCTTTGGACCTTCCGCCATTGTACAATGTAGAAAGGAAAGTACATGCACATATGTACTCCTGTAATTTTAGATAGTCACATAGATGACACAGTTTTCTTAATCTTTGTTCAGATAGGACTATTTGAGGAAAAACCGGTTTTTGCACAAGGTCAAGGTTCTCCATCATTTCAAATTTAACTGAGGCGCAAGACTTACGTAAAGTGCTAAAGTACGCGGTCATTTCGGGGTCGAATTAGCGAAGAAAACACAAAACAAATTGAAAAAATACACAGCTCGATCCTCTGAATCACTAGTTTAATACGCAAATGGTGTTAATTATATTACAATCTGAAAAGAAAAATTTTGATTTAATGATATTTAACACCCATCAATGAATATTGAGTAAACATATTTAGTGCAAAACATAAATTAGAATGTTTTCAATATATATGATTTCAGTGTACTATGAACCCCCACCCCACCACTACGTACATTATTATGAATAAACAAATATAAGTTTTGGGAATTTTAAAATAATAGTACCAGAAATAGTGAAGTTCGAAGGGTTTAACCCTGATTAAAAAAAAACAATTTTGTTTACAAAGGGTAAATTATTCACCTACATTGTCCATTCATCAGCAGAGGAAATTTTGGTAGGTCATGCAGTCAAGCTTAAATCTATATATTTGCAAATATTGGTCTCAGTCAACTTATATCTTAAAACTTGTAAATTAAAAAAAACATATTAGCAATTTAAAGTCCTAAAATACTATTTTGATGGATGATCCATCGTTAATTTTTTAACATTATATCAATACTTGATTACGAAACACGTACGATTTGATTCACAGTGGCATTGCAATTTAAGTAAAGCTAAGTAATTGATTACGCTAGTTGGTTTGTCTGTTTTCATTCATGCGTAAAGTCCAACGGGGTCTAATTAGAGTAAATTAATGGTTTTTATCCTGCAACTACCCCTTGTATTGACCTAATAAAGGTAACCTAATAAACAAAAGCTTTATTCGGTCAATGCACCTAAATCGGTTGAAAACAGCTCGTTTTGGAGGTCCTGTAAAAATGTGTTGCAGGATAAACAAAATACATGGAGACTGTCTTGAAATATAAGCGATATTTGGGCTCGGGTCGAAAACGTGATAGAGGGCTCGCCAAGCCTCGCTCTCTATCACGTTTTCTTACCCTCGCCCAAATATCGCATATATTTCAAGACAGTAACCATGTATTTTATATATATTAGAAAAACTGTGCATAATTTGGAGTTCATTTTGAGACATATAAATTAATTTATTTATCCTCCTGATTGACGACGATTTTACTGTGGCGCAAATATTTTAATTATTTTTTTTAACTGTCGCGCTAAGGAATTTAACTGTGGGACGGTGTTAAACGGCCCATAGAGATCCCTGCAAAGTTATATATATGTTATGTGATAATTTTATAGAAAAAAGGTTCTTGAAATACAGAGAAATTTCAAAAGTTCTTTATCATTACTTATTAAAAACTTATGCAATATTTACTTCCAGTCCATGTAACACTCAACAATTCAAATTTCTAAAATGATTTAGGGTTTTAGAATTTTAATATATTAGTCCAAATTTCTAAAGGTCAAAGACTCATACTTATTTTGTATATTGAAAATTAATATTTTGGTTCAAAAACTTTAACATTCAAATTTCTAAACAGGTTTTAAAATTTTGTTTATTTATTTATTTTTTTTTTGGTTTGTTTTTTTTAAATTTTATTTTTATTTATTTATTTTAATTTTTTACTAGGGATGGCTATCGGATACAAATTGCTAATCGGTTAACCTCAAGATGTTCCGAAAGATTATCCGGTTAATCGTATCAAATACCTATTTTTCTGACCTCTTTTTTCAAGTAAACTCTATTCATATACTCAAGAAAACTTAAAGAAAAAAACTTAGTAATATTTGTATATACTTGAGCTCTCGGCTTTTATGCTTCATTTCAATGTTGATAGAAATAAAAAATAAGAAAACCATTAAATATCCATCAGATATTCAAGACTGCAGATTTTTCAGACCAGATGTTACGCAAGGTCATTTTACATTATCACCATAAACAGAAAATGAGCCCAAACTAACACTTAATTTGCAATGCTTGTTTAAAATTATAATTTAGCAGACAACTCCTCAAGATAGACGGTAAAGATACACATTGTAATCAATTCACAGTTCTCAAAAGTAATTTAATTAATATCATTAAAGAGATACAGGACATGCATATATATTTTTTCCCGACCAACAGATTACAGATTGCCAACCGATTACCATTGTTCCGACCGAGTAATCGGTAAACCGGTTACAAATTGCCATCCCTAATTTTTACTTAAATTTTCAAAATTCAACTTCCCAAAATCAATTTTTGTATTTTAAACTTTTAATCTATCTAATGTTCAGAAAATTTTGATATTTTTAAATCTACTTCAAACTTCTAAATTTCAGCTGTCAAAACGATTTAGATTTTTTAAAATTAGAATTCAAATTTCAAAGAACCAAAACACTCTTTAACATTTGAGTTTTTAGAATTTTACTTCAAATACACAAAATATAAAATTTCCAAACCCGATTTGAATTTTGAAACTATGACAGTATTAATTCAATATTCTAAATATCTAAAAGTACTCTTGACCAAAAGCGTTTTGGACATAATTTCAAATGCATGCATTTGTCAAATTGTGGATAAAATGCTCAGAAGAACATTTTGTTTGAAAAGGGTCAAAGATCATTGGATGCAACGTGCAAATTATACATTGAAGCAATCCACCGTCATTCACACTCCCTGGAACCAGAAACAGTCAAATAAGTAAAATCAAAACCCTCTAAGCCATCTTAAGTAATATTATAACACATTAAATAATATTGGGGTCATTACTCTCTGGAGGTTTTCCAAACCTCCCGATAAATAATCATATTTCTCAAAAATGGTTGAAAACTTCTGACATTAACTATAAATATTCCTCTTCCTTGTGCTATTATGCATTAAATGGTATAAAGCTTCTGATCGATCCCCTGGAGATCATTCCAACCCTTAAAATTGGAAATGGTCACAATATGACCACGGCATCAAAAGCGCATCAATCCACTTGACCTTTCATTCTGACGCCCTAGGTTAATACTCTCTCCTAGAATTAGAAATAAATACGTTAATAGGCTCGCCACAAAACTATGTGTACATTTGTATCTATCTATCTGTCTATCTATCTATCTATCTATCTATCTATCTATCTATCTATCTATCTATCTATCTATCTATCTATCTATCTATCTATCTTCACAATTTGTTTATGTCAAAACAAAGTTTTGTTTTAATTGTATACATGAACGACCCTGGGGCTGGAAAGGAGGGAATGGGGAAGGAGTCATCTCTGCTGGGTCTTAAATGTTCAAAACTACTAAAATTTGTGGAAATTATCCCCACTTTCAACTTGTCATCAATACCTTCTCTTTCTCACAACATTCATGTTTATTAGTCAATAGATCATGGACATTTCGGACATATTCCTGGCCCTCGCATGAATCAGGAGTGGTATTATAAGTATTTTAAAAATGGTCAAGAGTTAAACAGGTCTTGCACAATCTGTTAAAATTGATTAAACTCTTTGAGTTAATTAGCAATACGTGTATAGCTAAAATTGATTTCGCTATTCAAAACACTAGACTTAGCTATTCAATCATATTTTCCCCTAAAATGTGTAGTTTACAACACGTATAAGTCATACTATGGTGATATGGTATTTTTCAGCGTTGAACTGTTCTGAAAACAATGTAAGAGAAAAAAATCAATATTTTGTGTCTCTTTCCAAACATTTGCAATCATAAGTTTTAACTCTCGTATAAAACTAGGGCTATATACATTGGGTAATCTCTTTTTCTCTCTCTCTCTCTCTCTCTCTGACATCTACTTGGGCCAAAAATTAAAATGGAATTATAAGACAAGTATTTTTAATTGATTGACTTTTACAGATTTTACATTGTGTAATTCATGTACTGCAGCTAGAATGATATCCCTCCCAGACAATCTTGTCCTTGATCTTCATCTAATTACAAAAGTCTTATTTTTCATAATTTGCTACAAATTTCAAATGGAACTTCTATTGCGTGTTGTTTAAACTTAAATCCATTAGAAAATACATGACTGTGTTCATATTTTGAGTATGCAGAAATGAAAATGAAAGCTTCTCACAGTGAACCCTTGCTTGACTTGTTGCAGACAGGTAAACATACCCCTCAGGGTATAATTATCATCCATGGGCCTGTACAAAATTGAATCAGTCAGAATTTAATCATCATTATCTTCATTAAAATAACAAGAAATACACTAGAGTTGTTATGAAATATTTAGAAACAAAAAGAGTATAAAAGTGAGTATAAAAAAATTCTTGTAAAACCATTATTTTCTTCAAATTATTTTTTACAATTTCATCTTCTCAAGAACCGCTGAGTCATTTTAATCAAAATTGCCTCAAAGTATTCGTAGGCGAAGGTGGTTTTAAGTTTCTTCAAATGAAGGACCGAAGTAGACTTAGCTAAGATTGATAATTCTGTACAACTTTTGATTTTGATAAAAGGCATGGTTACGAAAAATAGAATGTTTTGAAATTATTTCAAAATGGGTATACGCCTAAAACAGTTTTGGTCAGATTTTTCAAGTCTTTGTGTACAGGTAGAAAATATCAATATATAATTATCTTTTTCTTTGATTAATATTTGATTTAAAAAAAATATGTTGTCAAGGTTACTAAAATAGAAATTCCTTTAATTTTTTTTCCAGAACAATACAAAGAAACATCTTTCGTACACATCAGTAGAGTAGGGCTGAGACAGTACAAATTCTTTTCTTGTCGATACGCATCATGCCACGATACGTTAAATGTATTTCCTTTATATTTTGGTTATAAAATCTTTTAGTAATGAAATGAACAATCTGGTTCTTTACAAATAAGAATAATTTATTCAATGAAAAGCGTTTATATATATATATATATATATATATATATATATATATATATATATATATATATATATATA